GCAGGAATTAGGGGAGGCGAGTATTCAGGCAATGCCTTTTAGAGATGGTAGTGTCAATTTCTTTTTTTTGTTGTTCTTGTTTACAAATAAAGGGGACAGTGCCCAGTGAATTTCTCATGTATGACATTTCTTGCTGTTACTGGCTTGGGCTTGGAGCCGCTCCTCTTCTACACAGTTTGAAGACCCCAACCGTGTTCCACTCAGATGTCACTGGTGGGGCTTGACATCTGTTTACTTGCTGTCGTAAATGACTGGAAGTCACTTCTAAACACTGAGTGTGGGAGATGAATAACTTTGATGGCACTGGGAGCACTGAAGAAGGGTTTAGTTATGGATACCCTTCTTGCACCTTCTTCTGTAACATGATAAACAGTCTGGAGGGCCTCTGAAAAAGATATCCAGACCTTGACCCCTCCTACCATGTCACTATGGCTTGTCGCTCGGGACTTGGTCACTTCTCTCAACTCTACTCAACTGGGAACAAATCCATCTAGTAATTTTAAGGACTTAGTGTCAAAATCTAAAAGTTTGAGGCAAAGGGTGAAGACTGCGAGAGCCACTAGCAGCTAGTTTGTGCTTCCTGCTTCCAAAGAAGGGACCAACTTCAGGGGTACATGGGGAGTTCCTGACACTGCTACGGAGAAAGGGGTAATGTGTCTTTCGTTAGCATTCCTTTAAATCAGTCTGACATGGAGTCTTTTTTTTTTTTTTTAAAGTCAAGGCCCATTTGGACAGAGCAGAACATTGACTGGTACACAGCCCAGGGAACATGTCAGCAGCCATCACTGTCTGCTAATCCCAGCCCAGTTCTAATCAGCGTCTCCTTGGCACTCTGGCATGTTTATTCTACCAAAGATTTAAGCCAGTTTGTAAGAACCATCCTAATCCCTCTATTTTACTCTTTAATTTGGTTACCAAGTTACTCAAGGGGCCTCCTGGAGGACACACTTCCCTGCCCACAGACGTGATGAACCTGTTTCAGCAGACTTCTCCCAAGATCTCAAGGGCGATGCTAGCCGGGGGGTGGGAGAGCCACAAACAGGAGGAGGAGAAGGGAGGGGAGGCAGCCAGGGGCCAAGAGGCAACGAATGCAGAGCCAAAGCTTGGGCTCCTTTATTCATACCAGCCCACTTAGAAACGAGGTCACAGTGTAAGGTTTGGGGCTCTTTTTGTTGCATCATTTTATGTCCTTGGAAAGCACAGAATGCAGGGGTCACATAAAACCCAGGGCTATATGCAGGGAGCCAGGGCCATGTGCCGAGCTCTGCTTTCACCTTGAACTTTTGTTCCCTAAACTTCATAGGGAACCTTGGGGATTAAGAGTCCATCTTGGTTCTCAGAGTCCACCGTGACCTGACCACATGCCCAGAGCAGCCTTGCAGCCCTCTGCCTCCCCCATCCTTCTCAGTGCCATTCTTGGGAGTCTTCCTATGTGTCTAGTTGCTCCCAGATAATGATGGTCACATGGTGACACTAACAAATCCGGGCTCACCAGCCTGTCCTTATCGTCTGCTTGGTGGCCCTGTGTCAGGGCAGGCTGGTCAACTGCTTTGTACAGTGCCTGGATCGTTTCAGCCATGGTCCTTCTACTTTGACTGCTGGCTGGGGGTCGTGAGGTGGGGGAGCTGGGGCTGGGATGGAGGGAAACAGATGGATGCAATTTGAAGGAAGAAGGTATTTTGGCTTCCTCCAGAAAAACATCCCCATTTCTTCCATCCTGCGACTTTGGATTTTCACCTACCCCTGTGGCCTCCACCCACCTCCCTCACCGTCCTCCCACCTGCTCCTGGCACAGGGAGGGAATGGTGGTACTTACGCTGCTGGGGTAGAGGGTGGGCAGAGGCAGCAGCAGCAGGGGCACGCAGATGACCAGCAGCAGATTCCTTGCTTGGAGAAGACCCTTCAGCAAGCCCATCCTGGCCCTGACTCCTTTCCTCCTCCCCTGTGACCCGCTCTGCTGGCCAATGCCCTAGCTCCTCACCAGGCACCGCTCTCTGTCCAGAAAGACTTAAACCTTGCTTGGCTTCCAGGAGTCGTCTTTTGTCTTGGGGGCAGAACTGGAGGGCAGTTGCACTCCTCGTTGCCACAAAAGGCTGAACTCCTTACCTTCCACTTTAGGTGGGATTGATGAGCATCGTTTTATGACCAGCAAAAAGGAACTGGGAAAGGATTATAAATGGGGGCATACTCGGTGTCCTCTTCACTTGATTAGTAATAGGGTCACTTCATCCTGGGTGTCAGTAAAAGCCCTCTTAATCAATGAAAAGGACCCCTTTGTGGCTTTTTTTGGGGTCTTGAAGAGATAACTTAAAAGCTTTAAGCAATTAAACATACCAAGAGCATACTCCGCTTGCCATCATTTCTCCTCCCCCTGATGGCCTGTTCTGGAGAGAACCTGTTCCATCTCCTACCTGTGTTTGCTGTTGGTGAAAAATCAAGCAGCCCCTTCCCCTAAAACAAGCACATGAGTGTGTCAGGAGCATACAGACTTCAGAGGGGGCTGCTGGTCTCTCTCGGGCCCTGACACCTTAACTCCTTTCTAAATCCTTTCCTTCAAATTGGTTTCCTACTTATAATTTGTCTTGAGCCTGGGCCTCCAGAGCAGAAAACAGAAATTCCTAAGACATTCCTTTTTGTCACAAATTTGCGGTAGGTCCACCTTTAACTTTCACCCTCCAATGGGAAGCAGAGACAGAGGCTGCAGCTCCGCCCATTCCTCAGAGCCAATCAGCTTGTTGAAAAGAATGAACTGATATCTCTTAACAAAGGCAGTTCCTGATTGGTCACAGCAGGGGCCTGCTGATTCTGCAGAACCTAGGCAACTTGCAAAGCTTATTTTTCAGTTTCTCAAATACCCCAGAGGCTGGAGTGAGGACCATCATCATAAACAAAATCCCACTTTCCCCAGCACTGCTTTACTGTTCGCAGCATAGGAAAATGCTTTCCCTGAGAAGGCCACTTGCTGACCTAGCCCTTAGGAAGATAGGATGGTGGCAGGGAGAGAATGCGATATTAATTTTGGATAAATTTACCCTAGAGTGTCCAATGAAAAGCCTTTCAGATTTCTTTGTTGGCCAAAAACCACGTGCTTCAGCATCTGAGGGGAAGATGAAGGGTTTAAGACAGCGGAAGGGTATGAATCTGTAAGAAAGATCCCAGATCGGTTAGGAAGAATAGAGGGACACCTACCTCTCTGGAAAAGTCTAGATGCTAGTCTTAGTTCAGCTCCCCTTTCATCTGAGCATCAGTGGTCTTTCTGGCTAGAGTAGGTACTCAAATGCTCTTCTTTGAAGCTCTGGACCGAAGAGGAAGCAGAGGCTTCCTTTGGCTGGTGCACAGGAGGAGGTGGGAGGATAGAAAAGAAGTTAAAAGTTCAGGGACAAAGCCTTAGCAGCAGCCTGACTCTGGAATTTCTCCTGCTTTCAGGTGGGGAGAAGGAGTTAGCTGCCTTTTTTTTCTTTTTTCCCAGAGATTTTTGTCAGAGCGTGTGTGCTCACTAGAGAAACAGAGAGATGGAAAGTGAGAAATTATCTCCAGGGGGATAGCCATGCCACAATCCCTTCTCCTCTTGGGATCTTGGGTATGCATGTACACGCATCCAGCATGAGCTTTAAGCTGCTGGGTCCAGGACTCAAATCATGGTCGACTACATGGGAGTCCAGCGACATAACTGTTATACCATCTGTTGGTCTCAGTGATTAGCTGCTTTTTGCAGCAGGTGGCATATTGGTTAAGGCACTGAACTCCTATGGAACTCACCATAGACTCTAGGGGCCCACCGCAGCTCAAGTCCCAGACCTGGAGGCTCAAAAATTGTCTGCATGCCCAAAGTCCCAGGAGGAACATGTAAGAGAAGGGATTGCAGCATGGCCATCCCCTCTGGGGGGTGATCTCTCACTTCTTCTCCCTCTGCCTCTTTCCAGTGAGCACACTCATCCACTCTGGCAAAAACCTAAAACCAACCACAACGAAAGACAATGGATTTGGAGCAAAAAAGAAAAACAAAATAGAAAAATCACAATTTTCCTGTGAATGGTGGTTCTTGGCAATATTACTTTGATCTGGGAGATGCTGAGCAAATGAAGAGGTGCGACCCATGTTCTTTGGAATTCACAGGACAGAAGGCACAGCATTCTAAGGTCTACAGCTAGACCACCTAGAAACTATCCCCAGGCTAAAGGTAAGGTGATCAGAGAAGTGGCCCCAGAAAACCAGTTCTTCTGACCTTTAAGGATGTGGATGGCCCAGAGGCCTTCTGAAGTTATCTTGCCATTGTAAGATGGGCTGGGATGACTCACTGTTTTAAATACATGATAAAGATCAGCTACTGTATTTACTATTACATTCTGGCCTCATTTTCGTAAGGGCTTTGAAACTCAGAATGAACAAGACCATGTGTGAGATGTTTTGATTGCAAATATCAAAGAGACTGGGTAATAACAAACAGTCGCCCTAGTCCACATCTGCTGCAAAACCCATGAACCACTTCAGATTCCTTGGTGAGATGATCTGAGACAACACAGTTTCTAATGAGTTTGGTAACTAGATCATGGCATTTTTATTACACCATAAATGAAGATTCGTTAAATAAAATTAAGTAAGGCAAGTGACACAGTAAGACCAGTAGTATGCCTTCAGGACTTGATCCATTTTCCAGATGGAGAAAACATTTTCCAGAATGTAATACTCAAGAAACATAAGACAGATTCCACTTGTTTGAGGTATCTAAAGTAGTTCAACTCTTAGAAATAGACAATAGGATGGTTGCTGGGGATGGGGAGAAGGGGCCAGAGGGAAGTTTTCCGTGGGTATGACATTTTACTTCCATAAGATGAGAACGTTTTAAGGTCTGTGAGGCAACAATGTGCGTGGTGAGCATATATTTTATTTTTGCAAGATAATGAAGTCATTATTATAAAACTTTTTGTGGGTAAAAATTAATCTGTATTTAGACAAAAAAGTGTTTAAGAATCTACTTACTGAAAAAAGTCTTCATTTGCCTTTAGGAAAAAGTCATGCTTTTTTTGTGTGTTTTTTGTTGTTTTTGCTCTAGGGCATGTGCACTCACTGGAGAGAGAGAGGGAGAGATAGATGGACAGAGGGAAAGTGAAAAATCACTCCCCATCCCTGCAGAGGGGATGGCCACATAGCAATCCCTCCTTCTCTAGTCTCCTCTTGGGATTTTGGACATGCCTGCACATGTGCCTGGTGAGATTTTCAAGTCCCTGGATCTAGGGCTGAAAATGCAGAGTCACATGAGATCCAGTGCCTTCACTACCACATGACCTGCTGGCCCCGCATGCCCTTCTTAAAAATTTTTTTTTTCAGCTATTGATTGCTATGTAAATTCAGGTCCTAACTTATGACTGCAAAGTGCCTTTACTGTTTCCTGAATGAGCTATCATGGCTACTAATGGTCCTGGGACCCATCCTCCCATTCATTGATCTCCAACTGGGAGCAACCATCTCTATTATAACACGGTAGGCAGGGACTGCAGGGTGGGTTTTTCTTCTACTCTGAGTACAAGAAAGCGATCCCAGCCCTGCCCCTACATTGATCTCTTCTATTCAGACATTGAGTGTCAGAGGATGGGCAGGAGAAACAGAACAAAGGTCAACCGGAAGAGACTTGGCTGGATCAAGATAAAGATCATCAAATCTGGAGCAGCAGAGACGTTGACTAATAGAAACAGAGAACATGTTAGAGAAGGTTGAACCCCCCCCCCAAAAAAAAAAAATCTAAGAATTGCTTTTGAAGGACATAGAAGAACGGTATAATCCGGGAAGGAGAAAGAGAGGCTTAGCCATTAATGTCTGGAGTCTGAGAATATCAGGCTACAAAGCTGTGTTTCTCCTGTGAACGTTCTTCCTATCTCCTAGTAGTTTTCGAAAAAGACTGTGCAGCTGATGGTAGGAGAAGCTCATTTTCTTGAAAAAATATATATATTTTTTGAAGTCCAGACCTCATCGTCATCCCTTGTCATCATCTAATGACCATTGTTAGATGCACCTTTCAGAATCAAATTTAGCCCTGGAATGCTCACTCATCCAAAGTGATACTACTTGTAGTTTTAGCCTCTAGAACCCAGCTGTAAACCTAGGAGAAGCCAGAGAGGTCTCTGAGCTGGTGAGGAATCCTCATGGGAACCCAGACACTTCTCCCAACAGAGGCCTTCATCTATGAACTCTTACTTCACAAAGAATTGTAAGTAGCCTTGCTACCTTACTTTTTAGGTGATAACAGCTAAGAAAACAAATCTTGAAGGCAAGCTATGTTGGCAACAAAGACAAATGCATCCTGACAGTGAGGAGGGCAGCAGAAAAGCTTATAGCCACAAAATTAGCAAAACCTGGGATTTTGCAGAGAAGGTACAAACTGGTTCTTGTTGTTTTTTGGAAAAGGCAAGAAGTAGACCCCTGGTTCATGATGTATGTATTTGAGTTTTGCTCTAGTTTCTTTATATCCTACTGTAGACCCTTTGGAAAGAAGTTATTCATCCTAGCACCTAGGTCTTTTAGGATGTGTGGAATCTCTGCCCCGTCATCCTACTATTCCCAAATTTCTCTGACGTCTTCTCTAGCTCTGTCCTCACTCTTGGCTGTGGGCACAATCACTCTGTGTTGAAACATGTCTCAGACTTCTGTATGTCACCAGGCAAACTAATCTGCCTCTGGGGGCACTTTGAGTTATCACTCCAACCTGTCTCCCGGCCCAGATAACCTTATGTCATGAATCAGAATGTCAGGAAGCTGCAAGGGGCCAAAGAACACTGGGGCTCCCAAGGGTCCTCTGTTGCCCTGTGCTGGTGGCTGTCTTTTGTTCCTGGTCCCTATAAATGGATGGAGCATGAAGGCATTTTGGATTACTGTGTGTGCTGGTCCCTGCTCCAAGGTCCTGGCATGGGCCAGTCTCTCAGGGAGACACTCCAGGACCTGAGGACTGGATTAGGTCGTGTTGCAGGGCCTGGAAGAGGCTCCTGAGGGACTGGGCCCAGATGTCCTTCTGATACCCGTGGGACAAGGCTGTGCGGTAGGCCGTGTAGGCCATGGTCAGCACTGTCCTTTCAAAGTCTTCCTTGGTGAGGATTCCTGGGCGGCTGGAGAGGCTGGCACTCAGGCGACGAATGTCTGGGATGCGCTTGGGGATCACGTCATTGCAGACGGTGTGGAAGTCTGAGGCCTTCCGCAGGGAGGCGAGTTCCTCGTCCTTGATGGAGATCTGCAGGTCAGGGCTGATCTCCAATTCGGCCAGCAGGAACTGGTGAGAAACACAGGCAGTGTGAAGACTCGAATCGGCACATGGCTGAGGACCCGTTATACTCATTGTACACACTCACTTAGGAAGGCAGCCATGGAGGAGCTCGGGATCCCAGAGCACAGAGTTCCACGGCTGACATTCCCACTTACTGGGTAACTTGTGTGAGTTACGTAAATTCTCTGGGGACCAGCAGTTAGCGTAATGGCTATGTCACTGGACTCCCATGTAGTCGACCGCGGTTCGCATCCTGGACCTGGTGGCTTAAAACTCAAGCCAGGCACGTGTGTGTGCGTGTGCAAGATCCTGAGAGGAGCATGGAGGAGAAGGGATTGCGGCGTGACCATCCCCCCTGGGGTGTGATTTCTCGCTTTCTGTCTCTGTCTCTGTGTCTAGCGAGCACACGCGCCCTATAGCGAAAACCTCTCAAAACAAACAAAAAAATCACTTCTCTGAGCCTCACTCTTCTCTGTAGAACAGTTGCGACATCTGCTTCACGCAGATTTTTGAGAGACATAAATAAGGCAAACGTGGTTGACTCTAATATGGTACCATTATTTAGGTGGCTGGTTATTGTTTCTAGTGTCCCCGATCAATCTCTTCTCCCCTTTCCCCTCCCGCTCACCAAAGATCTAGTAAAGCATACATTGCGTATTTTGAATAATTTCTAAGCAGAAGCTGGGAGTTTGAAGGATGCAGAGAACCATAGTAGGAGTTAAATGGGATACAGAGGTTTGTCCTTGACTGTCACCTGCTGGCTAAGAGCAGGGCTGGGACCGTCATGTGCCTCCCTGTGCTGTGCCGGGCTCGCAGTAGGATCCTCATAAATACCCGGATGGAGTGACTCCCGATCCTAGCTCTTCTGAATCCATCTTCCCCTCGCTCTAATCCAGCCTCTGAGGCACTGTCTGCTATCTTCCTAAAACATGGATCTGTTTGAATGACTCCCACATTCAGGACTTGGCAAGGGCTGTGCATTTTCTGGCGTATTCCCCAAGGTGGGATGCAAAATCTCCCTGGTTCAGGAGTGAGGCTACCACAGGCCGGCTCTTTCCTAACTAGACGGCCCTGTGCATGGAGTCAGGATGTGAGAGTGGAGGGGAACCTCAGAGAGCATCGTTGATTTCACATTCAGCCATTGAAGAGACTGAGGACCAGGGAGAAATGGTGGCTTATGCAGAGTCACATGCTGATGGGTGACTGAGCCAGGACTAAAGCTCAGCCCTCGGGTCTGAGGTCCCGCTGCTGAGCTGGACTGAATGGAGCAGCTGTGGGAAATTTACCCCAAGGGTTGGATCAGGAGGAGTAGGGGCTCAGTGCTACCAAGGGGTGAGGGGCAGAGGAAGAGAGCCTGTGGGGAGGCCCTGGACCTCTGGGTACTGTGGGTAGCCAGAAAGAATTGCTGTCACAGCAGGGAAGGAGACTTGGCTGCACCCTGACACTGGAGGGCTTAGCATTGCCCAGTGCTACTAGTCCTGTCTGAAAGCCTTTGTTGGGAAATATTGGCCCACTCTGGTGCCTGGGTGCTGGGACTGGCACCTACAGGCCAAACCTGATCGCTAATTTTGCCTGGACTGAGCCCCTCATGCCTTGTTACAGTGCATGAGAAAGGAGAGGTTTGAGGAGAAGCTTGCTTTGGGATGGGCAGGGTTCCATGACTTCTGAAAATCAGTCTAGGCTCTTCTTTATGGCAGGAGATGTCAGTCCTTTTCAGGGACTCACTTCTCCAAAAAAAGGAAGGTGCAGTGCCTTGCGGGGTAGCTTGCCTTGGTGACCTTCCCTCTGCCTACCTCGTAGAGCAGTTCCACCTCCTCCAGGGAGGTCTGCAGCACGGGATTCAATGGCATCGATGAGGACCGCTTTGGCCGATGGGCAGCCGGGAAGAGCACAGCTGAAACAAACAAGAGAGTGAGCTCCAGACTCTGCGTGCTCCCTGGCCTCTCCTTTTAATCAGCCTTGAGGGAAGTAGCCAGCATGCCTTGAAAGTGACCCGGCTAGCAGGTGGTGTTTGTGGTTAAAGCACTGGACTCTCATGTGGCTGACTGAGGTTCAATTCCTGTACCCCGCAGCTTGACACTCATGCCAGGTGCAAGTGCGTGCGTGACCAGAATTCTGAGAGGAGAACGGAGGGGAAGGTAGTGCAGTGTGGCCATTGCTCCTGGGGGTGATTTCTCACTTTCGTTCTCTCTGGCACTTATAAAAAAAAATCTCTCGGGGGGTGGGGGGGAAGTAACAGGCTTGAACTGAGGTGGACATATAGAGCCAGAGGAGGGAGCAACTCCCCTGGTAAGTCAGAACAGTGGCTCCAAACCTGGTTACTTATTAGAACCATCTAGAAAGTTTTGAAAAATATATATGCCTGGGGCTATGTTTGCCCTAAGAAACTTATATTGAATTAAAGCAAAATGATGCAAAACAGAAGTGAATGAACAAACATAAAGCCCCAAATTCAACATCAGTCCTTTAGAAAATACCATTTCCTACCAGCACCCCTTGTCTCGGCACTTGATCAGCATAAAGTGCTGGATTATGTTTCTTCATAACCCTTTTAATCAGAGTATCAAACTTCTGGCTTCGTCCTTGATGGAGATCTGCAGGTCAGGGCTGATCTCCAATTCGGCCAGCAGGAACTGGTGAGAAACACAGGCAGTGTGAAGACTCGAATCGGCACATGGCTGAGGACCCGTTATACTCATTGTACACACTCACTTAGGAAGGCAGCCATGGAGGAGCTCGGGATCCCAGAGCACAGAGTTCCACGGCTGACATTCCCACTTACTGGGTAACTTGTGTGAGTTACGTAAATTCTCTGGGGACCAGCAGTTAGCGTAATGGCTATGTCACTGGACTCCCATGTAGTCGACCGCGGTTCGCATCCTGGACCTGGTGGCTTAAAACTCAAGCCAGGCACGTGTGTGTGCGTGTGCAAGATCCTGAGAGGAGCATGGAGGAGAAGGGATTGCGGCGTGACCATCCCCCCTGGGGTGTGATTTCTCGCTTTCTGTCTCTGTCTCTGTGTCTAGCGAGCACACGCGCCCTATAGCGAAAACCTCTCAAAACAAACAAAAAAATCACTTCTCTGAGCCTCACTCTTCTCTGTAGAACAGTTGCGACATCTGCTTCACGCAGATTTTTGAGAGACATAAATAAGGCAAACGTGGTTGACTCTAATATGGTACCATTATTTAGGTGGCTGGTTATTGTTTCTAGTGTCCCCGATCAATCTCTTCTCCCCTTTCCCCTCCCGCTCACCAAAGATCTAGTAAAGCATACATTGCGTATTTTGAATAATTTCTAAGCAGAAGCTGGGAGTTTGAAGGATGCAGAGAACCATAGTAGGAGTTAAATGGGATACAGAGGTTTGTCCTTGACTGTCACCTGCTGGCTAAGAGCAGGGCTGGGACCGTCATGTGCCTCCCTGTGCTGTGCCGGGCTCGCAGTAGGATCCTCATAAATACCCGGATGGAGTGACTCCCGATCCTAGCTCTTCTGAATCCATCTTCCCCTCGCTCTAATCCAGCCTCTGAGGCACTGTCTGCTATCTTCCTAAAACATGGATCTGTTTGAATGACTCCCACATTCAGGACTTGGCAAGGGCTGTGCATTTTCTGGCGTATTCCCCAAGGTGGGATGCAAAATCTCCCTGGTTCAGGAGTGAGGCTACCACAGGCCGGCTCTTTCCTAACTAGACGGCCCTGTGCATGGAGTCAGGATGTGAGAGTGGAGGGGAACCTCAGAGAGCATCGTTGATTTCACATTCAGCCATTGAAGAGACTGAGGACCAGGGAGAAATGGTGGCTTATGCAGAGTCACATGCTGATGGGTGACTGAGCCAGGACTAAAGCTCAGCCCTCGGGTCTGAGGTCCCGCTGCTGAGCTGGACTGAATGGAGCAGCTGTGGGAAATTTACCCCAAGGGTTGGATCAGGAGGAGTAGGGGCTCAGTGCTACCAAGGGGTGAGGGGCAGAGGAAGAGAGCCTGTGGGGAGGCCCTGGACCTCTGGGTACTGTGGGTAGCCAGAAAGAATTGCTGTCACAGCAGGGAAGGAGACTTGGCTGCACCCTGACACTGGAGGGCTTAGCATTGCCCAGTGCTACTAGTCCTGTCTGAAAGCCTTTGTTGGGAAATATTGGCCCACTCTGGTGCCTGGGTGCTGGGACTGGCACCTACAGGCCAAACCTGATCGCTAATTTTGCCTGGACTGAGCCCCTCATGCCTTGTTACAGTGCATGAGAAAGGAGAGGTTTGAGGAGAAGCTTGCTTTGGGATGGGCAGGGTTCCATGACTTCTGAAAATCAGTCTAGGCTCTTCTTTATGGCAGGAGATGTCAGTCCTTTTCAGGGACTCACTTCTCCAAAAAAAGGAAGGTGCAGTGCCTTGCGGGGTAGCTTGCCTTGGTGACCTTCCCTCTGCCTACCTCGTAGAGCAGTTCCACCTCCTCCAGGGAGGTCTGCAGCACGGGATTCAATGGCATCGATGAGGACCGCTTTGGCCGATGGGCAGCCGGGAAGAGCACAGCTGAAACAAACAAGAGAGTGAGCTCCAGACTCTGCGTGCTCCCTGGCCTCTCCTTTTAATCAGCCTTGAGGGAAGTAGCCAGCATGCCTTGAAAGTGACCCGGCTAGCAGGTGGTGTTTGTGGTTAAAGCACTGGACTCTCATGTGGCTGACTGAGGTTCAATTCCTGTACCCCGCAGCTTGACACTCATGCCAGGTGCAAGTGCGTGCGTGACCAGAATTCTGAGAGGAGAACGGAGGGGAAGGTAGTGCAGTGTGGCCATTGCTCCTGGGGGTGATTTCTCACTTTCGTTCTCTCTGGCACTTATAAAAAAAAATCTCTCGGGGGGTGGGGGGGAAGTAACAGGCTTGAACTGAGGTGGACATATAGAGCCAGAGGAGGGAGCAACTCCCCTGGTAAGTCAGAACAGTGGCTCCAAACCTGGTTACTTATTAGAACCATCTAGAAAGTTTTGAAAAATATATATGCCTGGGGCTATGTTTGCCCTAAGAAACTTATATTGAATTAAAGCAAAATGATGCAAAACAGAAGTGAATGAACAAACATAAAGCCCCAAATTCAACATCAGTCCTTTAGAAAATACCATTTCCTACCAGCACCCCTTGTCTCGGCACTTGATCAGCATAAAGTGCTGGATTATGTTTCTTCATAACCCTTTTAATCAGAGTATCAAACTTCTGGCTCCTCCAGCTATCCCAAGTATGGCTGCCGAGAATCTGCACACAGGTGACAAGCTAAGGAAGAGAGCTCCCAGAGACCCCGACACCTGGCTTCTGGGCAGCGTGTGGCTAAGCTCAGGGCTTCCCCTAAGGGGCACTGACACGGAGTGGTAGTTAGTCTAAAGTCAGCCTCAACAACGTTGCTCAGGTGGTGGGTTTTACAAGTGGTGGCTAGAGGGAGGGATGAGCTGTTGGAAGATACCTGGTGGCAAGACCTAGGCCTGACGGAGGACAGGTGAAGGAGAAGACAGGATATAGTAGGTAGGAGTGATCAGTGTAAAGAGCCCTTCTCCTGCACCTGAATCAGCTGGGAGCCAACGGCCCTGGCCACGTCTGCAGTGCCTCAGTGGAGCAGGCACCGTGCAGAAGTGCTGGGCAAGCCTGCTGCCAGGTGCGGCTTCCCCCAGACCCTTGATTGGGTTCCACCCGAAAGTTGGGGAAATAATTATAAAATCCTGAGATGAGGAGGTGACTGACACCCCCTGAGAACAGAGCACAATGCCTAGAGCCGTATGTGACAGCTCTGATAGTCAATAGTGGTGCCCTGGAGCCATGGAGGAAAGGTCAAATGTTCAGGGTACTGTGTTAACGAGGACAGGGAAGGACATCAAGCATTCCAGAAGGATTTCCATTAGATGGGATACAAACTGTCTTCAACGTGAACCTCCTACTTCCCAGAGAAACGGGGTTGCATGTACTGGAACATCGCTCTCTCAGTCATTCGTTCCTGAGCTCGCAAGCGCCACAAGTCCCTCAAGGCTGGGATAAATATGCTTTTATGTTTCTGTGGCCCTGGCAGAGCCTGGCGGGCATCAGGCATAGCTATTGGCTGACCAAACCCCTGCTCTGAAGGAGGCCTCTCCCTGCAGAGGGACCAGTTCAGCCTCCCTGACTAGTTTTGAAGAAGAAACCTATGAGCTCCAGAGCAGTATTTCCTAGCCCGGCATGTTGGCAGAATTGGTGCTTTGCCAGAAAAGAACCAAAGAATCCTAGATTTTTCAAGGCCTTGAAAAATACTCCCAGGTCTCAGCTCCAGAGATCTGATTTTAATTGAACTAGGCGCAACGGGGACAATAAGAATTTCTAAAGCTTCCTGGGTGCTTCTGATAGCAGCCGAGGCTAATGGGAGGGAGCTTGATCTGAGGTGGTGTGGGAGTCACTGGCGGCATCGTGTGCGAGGTACATGCCATGAATCCGGATGAATCGCTTACAATGCCTCCATGTAAGCTATCAGTTATTTCTAATGTCCCCAGGCAAACTCTTCTTCTCTTTCTCCTGTCTACCAAAAGTCTTCTAATCTGACTAGTTTGGATAATTTCTAAGCAGAAGCTGGGCATTCAAAGGATGCGGAGAACTCTGCTAGGATTGCCCAGTGGTTCTCAAGCTTTACTATTCATTAGAATCACCTGGAAGATTTTTTTTCTTTAGGGTCTACCTCCCACCCTCCTTAGGGCATGTACACTTACCAGAGAGAGACAGAAAGGGGGGAAGTAAAAAATCAGCCCCCACAGGGGATGGCCACACTGAAATCACTTTTCTTCCACCCTCCTCTTGGGATTTTGGGCAGGTATGCACACATGGTCATTGTGGTTTTCAAGCCCCTATGTCCAAGTCTCGAACTGCAGAGTTGCCATGTGGGATACAGTCACCTTAACTTCCACACGGTTTACAGGCCCTCACCTGGGTGCTTTTAAAAACCCAGATGCCTGGAACCAGTAGATTGCTTAATGGTTACATGGCTGAATTCCCACCTGGCCAACTGCAGTTCAAGTCCTGGACCTGACATGCCAGGCACATGCACATATGTGCCCAAAATCCCAGGAGAAGAATGGAGAAAGGATTGCAGCATGGTCACCTTGGGGGAGGATGATTTCCCTCTTTCTCTTTCTCTCTCTCCAGTGAGCTCCTGTGCCCTATAGCAAAAATATCTCTAAAAACAAAACCCAAAACCCACATTTGCCTGAGACCACATCTAAGGCCAGTTTATGGAAGTCTCTGGGGGAGGAATGTAGGCATCAGGACTTCTTGCAATTCCCAGGTAGTTACAATGGGTTTTCCAGATCTATAGTCAAGCCCTTCTACCAGAAGACAATTCAAAGCCTACCCCCATCTCACAGGGCCATCTGAAAAAGCCACGTGTATCGTATTCCTGGAGGTCACTGGCAGAGGCACAGAGAAGATAGGAACTTTGTCTCTGCTTTTCCCTCAGTGCAAGGTGCATGTGGACCTAGATGGAAACGGGATCTTTCTGTGTCCTCTTTTCTCCTCTCCATGAAGTCCTCTTCTCAGGACAGGTTCTGAGAGTGGCTTGACTTCTTTCATTCCGTTCCCAGAATTTCTTTCTAATTGTAAAATTAAAGGTATTTCTCCCTTTAGAAATATTCACCAGATGGAGGGAATAGGGAGGGACTGTCCTGAGCGTGGAGCTCTTTCCACACCTTGCAATCACAGACTTCCTGTGGCCAACTCCAGAAAGGGATTCACTTAGACCCTGACTTTCTTAACGCAATTATTTCCCTTTGAACAACAGTGCTTTTAACTTGCCTGCCCCAGTTGGACCCCGAATTTTCAAAGAGTCTAGAAGAAAATATTTCCTGATTCAAAGCTGAGCTTGATAATGTAACCTTCATTGTTTCTAAGCGCCCTTGTCCTCACACTAATAACAACATACATTGGAGGAGATTCTTAGAAATAGCTTTAGCCCCTAAACGAGGGGAATGGCTGTTGCTTTAGATAGTGGGTGTGGCGTCAGGAATGTCCTGCATGGGTTCCTCCCTCCCCCGCATCACCCCACCACCCTGGCAGTACTGCCCAGCACTTTTTTTTTTTTTTTGAGAGGTTTTTGCTATAGGGTGCGTGCACTTGTCAGAGACAAAGTGAAAAATCACCCCCCAGGGGGGATGGCCACACCACAATCCCTTCTCCATTCTCCTCTTGGGATCTTGGGTATGCACGCACATGCGCTCGGAATGAGTTTCAAGCCACCGGGTCCGGTACGCGAACCACGGTTGACTACATGGGAGTCCAGCGGCATAGCCATTACATTAACTGCTGGTCCCTTCCCAGCACATTTTTGAGGTGGTTTTGACCCTGTGCATCAGGCAGTGGTAGGGGCTGTCTTGCCCCTTTAGGCTGGTGGAATGTGGCATACTTGAGTGTAGACTTCTCAAACAGCTCAGCTAGGGACCAGCAGTTAGCATAATAGCTATGTTGCTGGACTCCCATGTAGTTGCCCACGGTTCGAATCCCAGACCCGGTGGCTTAAACTCATGCTGGGTGCATGTGCGTGCGTGCTCAAGATCCCGAGAGGAGAATGGAGGAGAAGGGATTGCGGCGTGATCATCCTCCCTGGGGGCTGATTTCTCGCTTTCTGTCTCTCTGTCTCTCTCCGTCTGTCTGGCAAGTGCACGCACCCTATAGCCAAAAAAACCTCTCCCAAAAGAAAACAAAAGCAAACAGCTCAGCTGCTGCCTAGGTCTGACACCCTGTATGAGGCAAGGCTAGAAAGGATACATTGGGGATGCTGGAGGTGGCAGGTGAGAAACCCCTCTACGTAGTCCATGTCAAAACATGGAGATAGGGCCAGCAGGTGGCATGGTGGTTGAAATGTTGGAATCCCACATGACTGACCATGTGATTTGAGTCTCAGACCTGGCAGCTTGAAAATCATACAGGGCACACATACATGCATACCCAAGATCCTGAGAGGAGAGTGGAGCAGAAGGGGTTGCAGCCTGACCATCTCCCCCAGGGAGTAACCTCTTACTTTCCCTTTCTCTAGTAAATGCGTGGGAAACAGTCTGAAAACAAGCAAACAAACACAAACCATAGAGGTAAACTGGTAAATGTATGGTCACTCCAAGATGTTCTTACTCGTGGTGGTGAATGCTGAAATGCCATGACCCAAACAAGGGCTCACCAACTCCAAGATGTATCTGTGCAGAGCTTCACACTAGACTGGTTTCTTTCTTTTTAAACATTTTTTGAGAGTTTTTTTTTTTGCTATAGGGCACGTGTGCTCGCCAGAAAGATAGAGACAGAGACAGAAAGCGAGAAATCGCCCCCCAGGGGGGATGGCCACATCAAAATCCCTTCTCCTTCAGTCTCCTCTTGGGACCTTGTGCATGCACGCACATGCACCTGGTGTGAGTTGAAACCACTTGGTCCGGGACTTGAACTGTGGTCGAGTACATGGGAATCCAGTGACATAGCCATTACACCAACTGCTGGTCCCAAAACTAGACTTGTTTCTACATCCTTAGAAAAATAGCCCTGCTCCCC